CGTGGTCGGGGCGGGCAGCGGGGCTTGCGCGGGCGCCGCATGCCGCCGGTCGGCTTCCGAGGCGGGCGCGGAGGCGCTGGCCGCCGGCGGGGCCCCCGGGCGCCCTGCTAGGTAGGTGCGCGGAGCGGGGGTCGGGGGGAGGACTGCCGCCGGGCCGCGCAGGGCGCTCCGGAGCCCGGTGGGGGGGGGCGCTTGGCAGGCGCGCGAGGGGCTGCGCGATCGGTGGCGGTGCGCGGCTGCGGGCCGAGGGGCGTCCCGGAAGAGGCGTTAGCGCTTGCGGCGCGGCGGGGGCTCAGCGGGGCGCTCCGCGCGGACGCCTCGCAGGACCGGCGCCGTTCGGGAGGCGATGCGCGAACGAGGGCGGCCCGGGCGCCGCGGCTGAAGCGCTGCTGCTCGAACGCTGGATCGGGGCCTCCGTCCACGGAGGAATTCGCAGCTGGCACCTGGTGAAGGCCTGGGGGCGCCCCGCTGGCCCCTCTTCGCAGGGCGCAGCGGCTGCGCGGCCGGCCCCGGTTCCGCGCTGGTCGGGAGGCGAGGCGCCCCACCGGCCGCGGGATTTCCTCCGAGGCGGACGCGCCTCGGTCGCCCCGCGTCCTGCTCCGGCCTGCAAGGAGGGAGCCAAACTGTCCAGCAGCGATGCGGCGTGTTAAGGGTTAAGACCAAACGAAGTTTGGGTCCCTTTCTAACAGGTCACTTCTTTTGTTTCATATTAGTTAGAAGCGGTGGCCTTGCACGGATGGGAGCGGGCGCCATCGAGTTCATTGGACATGCATCTGATTGTGACACTGTGCTGTAAATTACTTTGAAACAATCATAAATGCAAATTGACAATGCAAATTAATAACGATACAAAATAATAAGAATTTTAATCAAATTAAAAACTACTGATATTAAAGATTGTTTGCTCTCATGTTTTGGTTTAAAATACGTTTGTGTTTTAAAGTAAAGAAGTTTCAGGAATAATGTCTATTCCTTTGAGGGAGCGAATGATACAGTGAATCTATATTGGTATAAGAAATAGTTTATCATTAACTTGTCATCATAATACCGTTTGTGTGAGGACACAAACCTTATTCCTGTAACTTTATGTAAGTTTGGTATTTCAACAAGCCAATTCTTCTTTGTGGTAATGTTAATTAATAAAGCTGTCAGATCTTATTGGAAGCCTTGTGCAGGTAAAGTTACATCCATTGGAAGGTCTGAGCCTTTCGGTCTTGAAAGTCAGTGTCAGTGCAGGTAGTTAAACCGTTTATTGTAATTGCATTCTTCAACGGGCTTTTCAGAAACTCTTTGCCAAGGATTCCACACGTTTTTGTGTGGTCCAGAAATATTGCTGAAGACCTGACATTTTAGCCAAACATACAATACTTCTGCTAATATATTTTCCCAAGCAATGTGCAGGTTCCAAGAACAAGAGTTTTGATAACCCTTTACCCAGTTGTGGAAAAAAAAAACCCTGAAACTCGATTGCTTTTTATGGCAACTGAGTACATTTATGGTACATTTGTGTAGTTAGATTGTCTAAGCAGGGCTGTAACCTTACAGTCAAAAAAGAAAAAGAGGTTTATTTTTTGTATACCAAATTCAGCAAACTGTCAGCAACAGTATGTCTTAGCTAAATACCATGCATGTGGAAATGCCCTTTGCCAAAGTCCTTAGTTTCTGCACATACGTTTCCATAGGTTCTGGTAGATTTGTGGCAGTTGTTACCAGTTTGGTGCACTGAATATTATGCATTTGAACGGAAACTTTTCAAATAACAGCAGGAAAAGCACCGGCCCCGGGTGTGAGGGCAGCTCCAAGGCACAAGCCGCGGTTGCCGGGAGCACGCCGAGCCCTTCCTTGGCTTCCTGCCCAGGACTGTTCTGCTCCTGCCCTGTGACCCTCCCTCCCGCAACTGGATCTGCCCCCTTGCAGCCCCCCTGTGCTCCACCACGGCCCAGAGGACCGGCCCAAACGCGCCCTGTGGGCTTCATGGCCAAGCGGGGGCTCGGACAGGCATCTGCAGGGGCTCCGTTTGTTCGTTCTAAGATTTCCACGGGGAGCCCTCTTCCTGCCGCAGCATCGCCAACGCTGGGGGGGGGAGGGCGGCCTCTTCAGCTGCCGGCTTCCTTCCTTCCCAAGGGAGCATCATCGTATTTGCTCCTTCCGGGCTCTCGTCAGGTGGCTGAAGCCTTTCTTGTCTGGGAGGGTCTCATCTTCAGAGCAGAGCAGTGGCTGGAGCAACGCGGGAGTCACGGCTGCTCCCTGCAACCAGGCCCAGGCAGCAGTGTGACCCACAGGGAATTTCTGAGCACACTGGAAAGGCAGCTCCGTGTGCAGGGTGCAGCTTCTGTGGCAGGTCAGAGCTCACGAGGAACAGGCACAGCTTCAGCCGTGAGGCCCGGCCAAGGCGTGAGAGTCCAGGCCGGAGGCCAAGTTCAGGAGTGAGCCCATCTGGCCTGGTGGGACTGGTGTTTCCTCATGCCTTTCCCTGGGCCAAAGTCCTTGAGCGCGTCTGGATGGAGCATCAGGTTGCGGGCGGATGCTTTGAGGACGGGTCTGTCCCTGGCTGCCGTGTGTGGTGAGTGGTGGCAGCTGCAGCGTGTGAAGGGGGTGCCTGCCCTGGAAGCAGGTTGCCTGCAGCACCTAGGGAGCAGCCCCACCCCATGCCCAGCTTGCGCGGAGCCCTCTGAGCACACGCCCTGATAGCTCTTTGGCTGCCCAGCTGGCGCTCCTGCCTTACCTGTGACCTGCCAACTCCCGGCTCCCCTTCCTGCTCCCACATGTCCCCAAATGTCGTTGAATTGCTGGTAATCCCCCGTTTTCTTTCTTCTAGAGCTGGAGTGCCCCAGCTGCAAGCAAGTTTTCGAATGTGAGCGCTGGTGTCTTTCTCACATCTGCTTCCCTGAACATAGTGCCCAGCTCTGGAGAAACTTTTCTGGCCCAGTGATGGTGAAAAACCAGTCAGTGAGTCAGTCTACAAACTTTCACAGTCTGGCCAGGGACCTGGAGCGGACGATGGCCTCCTGCAGAGAGGGTCCCCATGGGGCGAGGGGTGTGAGTGGTGACGAAGTGGAGAGCAGCCAGGGCAGAAAGGTGGTGCTGCTGGAGAAGACCAATCGCCTCCACGAAGAGCAGCATGTGTGGCCTGGGGAAGAAGGGGGTGTGCCATACTCGCCCGGCGGACCTTTCCGGAAGCTCGCCACGGGGAAACCAGTGGTCCAGAGGGGTGCCCTGCAGCTGAAGGAGAGCGCGTTCACCGAGGTGAGGTGGGTGAAGGAGAAGCTGAAGGCCGAGCGGGCCCGGGAGATGGGCCCAGGAGGCGGCGAGGCCCGCTTTGGCATGGGCCTGGTCCGGTGCTCGTCCGGCAGTGCATTCTCCTTCGTGTGGCCCGCCAGAGCTGCCGGGGAGCTGAGGAGCGCGTTCAGCAAGCCAGCCAAAGGCCTGGCGGAGGGAAGGGCCGTGGCCACCTCCCAGCCTCAGGGCGACCCAGCGAAGCTGCCCGGGTGCATCAGCGCCACAGACTTTGCGTGGTGCGGCAGCAGCCTCTGGACTTCCCGGCTCCTCGCGAGCGACCTGAGCGGCTCTCCGCTGCTGCAGGCCAGCCCCTTCCCACCCCTCCCGGGACTGTGGCCCAGGCAGGCGGCAGAGCCGGGGCCAGCTGGGGCCGTGCCCGCCCAGCGCACCTCCTCCACTTCCCTGGCTCTGCTGCCCCCCACCTTTGCCTCCTTTGCTGTGGCGGCCCAGAACTGGTGCGCGAAATGCAACCTCGCCTTCTGCATGACCTCCGACCTCGTCTTCCACATGCGCTCCCACCACAAGAAGGAGGGCGCTCTGCCAGAATCCCGGGGCAGGCGGAGACGGGGGGAGGGGCTAGCTTGCCCGGTGTGCCGGGAATATTTTCGGGAACGGCACCATTTATCCCGCCACATGACCTCGCATAACTAGGCCCACAGTTGCTCTGTTGCCGTTCCGTGTGCGTGCACTGAGTCGTTCCCATTCACTTTTCTGCTGGGTTTAACTAGAAGCTTCAGACAGACATTTGCAGTCATTTTTACTCTGTGTTTCAGAAAAATACCTACCTTCATTACATGAATTTCAATCAACTTTATTAGTGGAAATCAAACTGTAGTTCAATAGCTAAAGAAATTAAAAAGTGAAATAATGGGTGGTGTGTCATTTGGTAATGTTGAGGGTGTTGGAAGTTGGTTCTTTGTGCCTGCAGCTATCCTTTACGAAGTGAAGCCACCGTGACTTCCTCGGAAGCACAGCCACATCTGTGGGGGGCAGGTGTGTGCCTGACTCGCATGTCATTACCAAGTGATCAGCATGACTGGCAGGCAACGTGACCGGCGGTCCTGTAAACCCCTGAACTCTGGCCATACGTTCCAGGAAAATTTGCGTGAAGAACTACTGTAAGCATGGTGAAAGGGGGGCTCCTCTTCAGGGTAGCACCAGCCCTTTGGAAAGATGTCTGCCTCTAGCTTGAAGCACGGTCCTGCCAGGCCAGCAGCTGTTCCCTCGAGATCCTCTCCTTTCTTTCCTCGCAAGCTTGCCCTCGGTGCAGTGCTGGGGTGTGGCCGATGCCCCGTTCTCTCCTTTTGAAGGAAAGTACAAGGAAGCAGGCACATTGCTCAGGCAGCGGCCCTCAGCGGCTCCAGGGCATTCTGGAAGGGCTGCCGCTTGAAGTCACGACCATGGACCTTGGAACGGGGCTCGGCTGCTGTGCAGAGGAGCCGCTGCCGCCCAGAGCGGGCAGTGGCGGCGGAGAGGGCCTTCCAGGCCTGACAGTCCTCCCCCAAGGTTTGCTTGCTCGCAGGAGGTAGCCATGGAGGTTTCACCATCACCCCAGCTGTTCCTAACCAGACATGCTCCTGGGAGGTTTGCGCCTTTGTGACTTTAACAAACACCAGAATTTGGGGGAATGGATCTTGACTTCTCTTTTTCTCCTTGTTTCTAGTTCTGGAGGGGTCACATAAAAACTGGAACTGAGCTATTATTGAAGTTCCAATAGTCCGAAACAGATTTATAGGAATAAAATCTTCCTCACAGTGAAAATGAATGGGTAGTCGACCATCTTTCTCCCCTAATTCCCTCTTATTTCCCTCGGTTCCCATGGAGTCTTTCCGTCTGCCCCTCCAATCTAGTGGGAACCAAGGGACGCACGGAGCATGTCTTTCGCTTTGATGAGTGCCACCTCGGTGGGGACTTCCATGTGCGGACTCACCCCCACACCCTCCCAGGCATCGCCTGCAGAAATGGTGGATCTGGAGGTTGGGATCGAGACGTAGAGATTGGTGCCGTCCACGTGGTATGTCTGAGGGGGGTGGCAGCCCCCGCTGGTCCTTTGCCCAAGGATGAAGGCTCTGTTCAGTCTCTTCATGATGTACACAAATTCCTCAGCCGCTCCAGCAGTCACCGAGCTGGTGAGGATGAGCAAGCCCTTGCCGGAGCCGTATCTCCTGCCTGCAAGAGGCAAGATAAAGGCATTGCGTGAGCACATTCGCGTTGGGCCTGGCGCTCCAGCACAGCTCTCCAAGAGAAGGGTGACCGGCACTCCCAGAGCCTGGCTTGATCGGCTGGTGATGGGCTGAATCCGGAGTGGGTCGCACTGAGCAACAGAACCTGCAATGGCAGAGCTGGAAGGGGATTCCGTTGGATCCCCTCCGTTTGGCTCCCAGACTCCAGCCTGCTTCCTCACAGCCATGAGTCCAGCCTGGTGCCAGGCACTCCGTGTTTGTGTGGATGCTGGCCAGGAACTGCGTCTGGGTGGTTGCTGTGTGAGGGGCATCCCTCTTCCAAGCATGCAACTTGCAGACTTCACTTGCATTGCATGTGCTGCAGAAGAAGGTTGCTGGTTGTGCAGCTGGAGCCAGACGAGGAGGAGAGGGCTGGATCCCTAAGGGGGCATCACAACCCCAGCTGCAGTCTCCCAGTGTAGATACAGGGACTCACATGGACAAATGCAACCCAAAACACAATCCCATCACCTGTCAGCTTTGAATGAGTCCACAGGTCCAGCGTGGTATCGTTGGGTCTGTTGTACACCTTGTCCAGAAGAACCGGGTGTCCTTCATCAAAGAAGTAGGAGCACAAAGCTGCCACAGAGGATGTCGCCCCCCCCACATTGTATCTGTTCAGATATGGGGAGAAAGAGCTGCATCACATGAAGTTCAGCCAGAAGAGCCCGCTAGATGGCTCAGGCATGGAGAAGGCTGCCTAAACGACTCGCGCTAGCCCTAGGTGTAGTAAAGGGGTTGGGGAGCAGGGAGGGACAATATGGTACAGGCTCAGCCTCCATGCGCTCACCACAGAACCTGGAGTCGGCCTTCCCTAGCTAGAATCAAATGGCTGGAAGCAGCCTAGGCGGCCACTGGGTCCACCCGCTTGCTCAGCGCAGGCTCAGGTCTTCCATCCAGCTTCTAAGCAGACCTGGCCCTGCTCGGCTTCCCAGATCAGGAGGGGCCCAGAAATTCAGGTCGTACGGAGGTTCGCTTGGCCAGCAGCCAGGAATCCTGAGGAGCCCAGGCCGGCATTTCCGGAGGCTCCAGATGGGGATGTGGCAGCCAGCGCCAGGAGAGCCAGCGCACAGAATGGACGCCACATGGACAGACCCCTTTGAGACCGGGGCACATGCAGGCTAGTCAGGCCTGCATGGAGGTTGGGAATAGGGTTAGCGTGTGAGAAAAACGTGTGTGCCATGTATTGCATTTTGAGTGGAAGGATGGATCCAGGTGAGCAAGGGAGCTGGTGGGAGGGCTTTCCACTCAGCGGCACCCCAAAAAGCTACCCAGGAATATACTACCCAGGCCGAGCCATGACATGTGGTGGGGAGAGGCTCTCCGAAGGGGGGGACACCATCCCTGGGCAGGGGCTTCGATGCACGTAGGGGACCGCGGACCAGTTCCAGATGGCATCTGGCCTCCCTCTGACCAACTTCCACGCTCTCTGCTCCGGGCCCCTCTTTACCTCATGTCTATGATTAATGCGTCTGTGTCAACAACCTTCTCCCAGACGTGTTCGACTAGCAGCTCAGAGACTTGAGACAGAAGCTTGCAGTCCCCAAACATGTCGAACCTCAAGTAGCCAATGTTGTTCTCAAACACGCTGGTGTGGAAAGAAAACTTAATGAGATCTTCAAACATTTCTGGGGAAGGCATCTGAAAGGAAAAGTGCGGTAATTAACTTTCAAGGGCACTGCGGCATAAGCGGCTTCTCGAAGAGCCCAGCTTGGAGGGTGCCACAATCGCCAGGCCCAACCCGCTCCCCCCAGGTGGTCACAGGTGACCTTGGCCAGCCCCCACCTCTCTGCCTCCTTCATCGCCCTGCTGGGAGGATACACGGCAGGCTATCACAGGGTCTGCCTCCGAAGCCCACCCGTCAGAGCAGGGACACGTGGCTTGTGGACTTTACTTATTTTATTATTCTATTTTATTTTATTTCTCCATTATTTTAAGGCTTGACTATGATTCTAATTGTGGGGCTTTATTGTATAAGAATTTTTTTGGATGATATGCTCCATTCTGCTTTTGTAAGACCATCCTGAGACCCCGGTAGCAGATGGGACATAAAAGTTATGGATGGATGGATGGATGGATGGATGGATGGATGGCTAGTCTCCACCTCTTCCTCCCTGGTTGTAGAATCGTGCCCATGCCCAGCCATCCCAACGCAGACCCTGGAAGGGACTGGTACGGCCCTCGAGTCCAACCCCCTGCTCGGTGCAGGACCACAGGCTCAACCGCCTCTGACAGTCGGCTGCCCAGCTGCCTCTTGGGGGCCTCCAGCCGCAAGGAGCGAGGTGGTGATGCCGCTCCCAGAGCATCCCGTCCCTGCAGGGCCTCCTTCCCTCACAGACCCGCAACACTCTCGCTCCCCCCCGCCACACAGGCCTTCTGGCGGTCGCTCAGCAGCTTACCTGGATGGGCACCATCCCGGGGATGCGGTCCCTCAGGTGCTCGGGAGCGTAATGAACCTTCAGGTGCCGGTCCCCAGACACGGCTTGGAGGTCAGCCGCCAGTTTCTCAGCAAGTTCTGCTTCAGAGTTGACCTTTCGGTACGTCTCTTGGCCGGCGCGGTCCATGAGCCTGGCAGCCAGTGCAGCCCCAGCAGCGGCGACGGCGTAGTTGTTGGCCATCAGCTTGGCCACGGTCTGCAGGATGCTGGGCAGCTGCGCACGCAGCGCAATGATGCTCTGGGCGACCGCCGCAGCCTCGGCGGCCTGGGTGGTGACGTGCGGCTCAATGCCAGACAGGCTCCACACCTTGCCAGTGGCCGGACTGAGCACCACCTGGCTGGGGACAGAGGCGTAGAGGGGGCTGCCCTCCACGTGGTAAATCCCGGCCGAAAGTGAGCCCCCCACAGTGGGCTCCCCCACGACAGTGGCGCGGTGCAGGTCCTTCAAGGCGCGCGTGAAAACTTCGGCCGCTGAGCCGCTCACGTGGCTGATCAGGACATATACGTCCTTGGTGGACCCGTACCGCTTGCCCGACACCCAGGGCAGCGTCCACACCTCGGCGCTGTGCGACGTGCTGCGGTCGAAGACGGTGTAGAGGTGCTGCCGGGGCTCGGCGTCGAAGAAGTAGGAGCAGAGGATGGGCACAGCGGTGGAGTAGCTGCCGGTGTTGTGGCGCATGTCCACAACGATGGAGTCCGTCTCCACCAGCTTGTCCCAGACCACGTCCAGCAGCCGTGGGCCGATGGCCTGCACCGCCTCCGCCTCGGCCATCATGTCGAAGCGCAGGTAGCCCACGTTGCCCGGCAGCACGTCCACCTTGAAGAGGGCCTCGATGATGTAGCTCAGCTCCTCCGGGGAGGGGGTCCTACTGGGGGGCTGCTCTTCCAGGGAAGGCTCCACATAGCTGTGGAAGATGTGGAGCTGGTGGTCCCCGGCGGCCTCCTGGAGGTCACTGGTCAGCTGGGAGGCGAGCGTCTCAAAGTCCACCGCCGTGCGATACCCACCGTGGGCCAGCTTGGAGCTCAGGGTGGCGCTGACCCTCCGGGCCATTTCGGGGATGGCGTAGTGAGCCTCGAGCAACTGCCCGACTCCTTCCACAAGGGCTCCCATGCCCTTGTGGAAGTCCAGGACTTCCTGTGCCTTCTCCAGGGCCTCGTCGGCCAGGACAATCGTGTCTGGCACCACCCCCCCCCCGAGCCAGAACTCCCCGTGGTTGTCAATGAATGTGATGACTGGCACGTTGAGGAGGAGACTGCAGTCGGGGCCCTCCCAGAGCCGCAGGAGGCAGAAGGGGTGCATGTGGGACAAGCGGCCTGCAGTGATCTCGCCGATGAGGGTGGCGCGGCCAAGGGACTGCATGAGGTAGGCGAACTCCTCAGCCGCTGTGGCTGTCTGGTGGCTGGTGAGCAGATAGACGCCACGCTGGGCCCCGTAGGGCCTGCCCAGCATCTCAGCCCCGCTGCTGTGGACCCGGGTCTGGTTTGTGCGTCTGTCGTAGGTGGTGAAGAAGGGCACAGGGCCGGCAGAAGGGTCCTGGAAGTAGGAGAGCAGCACCGGCACGGCACTGGAGGAGGGGCCGCCGGGGTTGTAGCGCAAGTCCATGATCAGCTGGTCTGTCGCCTGCAGCGGCTCCCAGACTTGCTGCACAATGTATGGGCCCAGCTTGAGCAGTACTGTAGCGTCGGCAAACTCATCAAAGCGCATGTAGCCAATGTTCCCCGGCAAAATGGAAACCTTGAAGACAGTGGCCACCAGGGCCCGCATAAGCCCCTCGTCATCGGGTAAGTCAGCGGCTACGGCGACCCGCTCCTGGACTGGGGCAGCCCCTGCCTCCTGCACAGTGGGGGCCCAGGAGAAGAGGCGGGGGTCCTCTGACACAGCCTGCAACTCCGCGTTGAGCTTGGCGGCCAGATCCTTCACGGACAGGATGGGGCTGTGGTCAAAGGCGGAGAGGTGCCGCAGCAGCGGGGGCACCCTCTCCACCATGGAGTAGTTGTGCTGCAGGACATCCCTCAGGTTGCTGATGGCGCCCGGAAGGGCTCTGCGCAAGGAAAGGATGGCCAAGGCTTTGTCCAGAGCCTCCTCTGCTGATGTCGCCACTGAGGGCGTCACTCCATTAACCTCCCAGCTCTGCCCACTGCCACTCAAGGGGCTCACAGAACGCGAGACGGGGATGGTCATGTAGAAGTGGGAAGCACCAAGCGGCAGTTTCTGGATATCCAAGGAGCCTCCGGCCGATCTCTCCCCTACTATGATGGCCCGGCGCATCTGCCTGAGGATGTGCGCCACGTCCTCGGCCACGCCAGCGGTGTGCTGGCTGCTCAGCAAGACCACATCCTTGTCCTTGGTATACCTCTCACCCAGCACCTCTGGCAAGGTCCAGATTTCCACCGTGCTGTTCGAGGGCCGGTTGTAAATGGTGTCGACGTGCAGCGCCTTGTCCTCATCGTGCAAGTAGGAGATGAGGAACGGGATGCCCGAGACCTGCCCGCCTGTGGCATGGCGCAGGTCAAGGATCAGAGCCGAGGTCCCCATCAAGGCCTGCCACACCTGTTGCACCAGGTACGCCCCAACCTGCTGCACAACTTCCTGGCCGATGATGTAGTCAATCCTTAGATAGCCCACATTGCCCTCTAGTACCTCGGACTTTATGATATGCTGGAGGAGACTTAGGAGTTGCTCTGAAGTTGGAGAAGTGGCCGCTTCTTGCTGGGGGGAAGCCGGAGCAGATGGCTCGTAGGAGACTACCAGCCGTGGGTCATTCAAAGCTCCCTGCACCCCGGCGGTCAAAACTGTTGCCAAAAGTTTGGGATCTGAAATGTCCAAGATCTCCCCACTCTTGATGGCTTGTTCAATGGCTTCCTGCATCCCCACCAGGTTTTCAGGGAAGCAGTAATTATCCAGCAGAACCCTGGCCATGTCCAACACCAGCGCGGACTGAAGGACCCCCTTGGAGTGGATGCCGTGACAGATGAGGCACAGCAGCAGCAGCGGCAGCGGCAAACAGCTCCTCCTCATCTTCACCCAGCCAGGAAAATGCAAAGTGAAATGCAGCACAATGAAATCCAGAGCGATCGCAGAGTGAAGTTCGCTTCCTCCTGAGCCTGTGTGGTCTATCGGCGGAGTGGGTGAGTAGCTAAGCATTAAAGCGGAGTGCACAGAATATCCCTTTTATCTAACCTCACCCTTAAATCTGGCTCTAAGGCCTTAATCTCATTAAATCGGAGGGCACCCACCTGCCGGATCCCAGACAAGGCGCGGCTTCATGGTGTGTTGCAACAACCTTCCCCTGGGACCTGCCGATGAACTTCAGCCGAGCGAGTGCTAGGAAGACCACCCCAGAGTGCTCACCGGGCCTTGCCCACCACTTCCCGAACAAGCCCTTCGCAGACTGGGTCGGATCTTGTTTGCCGCAAAAGGGCTGAAAGGAATCATTTGGAGTGCAACAGAAATCACACAGCACTGAATACACGCAAACCCCACTCAAAACACTTCAGGTTCATACACATCTTATAAATTGCAATGATATGAACAACATTTTATGGAATATATAAATAAGGCATATGAGTAAACAAAATAAAAAGACAGCCAGAATACTCTGATAATAGCTGAGCTATTTAAAACTTATATAACAGGACTAGAATATTAACACAGCTGTGCTCTATACAGTCTAGCAGAGCCCAAGTTTGGGAGGTGTAATCAATTATCAGTCTTTAAGAGCCACTCTGCAGCAAAGTTTGTAAGGGGACCCATGGATTACCACCTGCAAGAAAAGACAGGCATGCCATGTGCCCCAGTGGTTTGCAGCTCCTGGTCATCTTAGCCTCATGTCTAAGTTCCTCCACATTGCAAAATAATAAGCATTCACATTTACATGGTCTTGTACTTAGATGAAGATGAAAATAACGATCAAGGCATACTTACAACACGTCTCTTAATAAAGGGCGTGTTAAGAATACTGAGAGACCAACCAAATCAGTCACAGCTGCTTTGTACAACCAGTCTTCAAATTCAAATAAACTTAAATGACCACGCGAGTCATTTATATATTCAGTCATTCGGCGGCTTTAGGAAAGGAGGACCAGATGAGGAACACGGCGGGAGGGACTGTTGAAGGGTTGAGGGGTTCAGGGCTGCACAAGCCAATTCTGCGGGGGCGCCGAGCACGTGGCCGCCAAGCACGGCTGGCAGTTAGGCAAAGCCCAGCTTTCCAGGGGGGATTTTCTTTCCCATGACTAATTTGGGCTACCCAGTTTTCCAGTGAGTTTGCCCTACATCTGCATGCAGCCATTTGGATATTGTCAAACCCTGAACATTTGATACACGATGCACAGTTTACTTAATGCTAAGCATGTCGCTGCTGCTGCGGGCTGCCAATGTTTGCATCGGGATGGCGCATCTCCCGCCACTTGCCAGAACACTGCTAAATCCGGGGTGGCTGTAATCTTCATAATTTGCCATCAGTCTGGATTTACTTGTAATGCCACCACAGAACATATGGCCACTGTTCCCAGGCAGGAGAAATTAATCTCAACAGACCGAAATAGAAGGCGCAAAACGTGTGCGCAGGCACATGCGCCTGAGTTATTTCTAGGATTTCTGCATCTGGAATTTCCCTGTGCTGCTAATAATGCACGTTGGGGCAAAAAAAAAAAAAAAAAAAAAATCCGATTTCAACTATATGGGATTGGGACTAAGCCCGCCTGAGCAAGAAAGCAACCCCTGGGTAGCGGCAGGCGGCGGCATGAGAGCGTCGGCCGGGTCGCAGCTGCTGTGAAGGCGGGCTCCCTGCCGGGCATGTTGAGAAATGGAAGAGGAACTTCTATCAAACTTGGGATTTTTTAAATTATTGGCTAGAGAAACGGGACTTCGCATGGATTTAAATATGTTTTTAAAGTTTTCATAAATGGAAAAAGAAGGGTGTGGGAGCTGACCCAGCGGGCTCGATGTTTTTTTGATGATGGATGTTTTTTTGTTCTGTTTTTAGGATTATCATTTCAAACGAAACTTATTTAAAAAAAAGAGCGAGAGATGGAAGAGGAAGCGGAAGGGCCGCCACTGCGTCGGGAAGGGCACGGGAAGGGCCGCGGCTGCCCCGGGGGACGAGGGAGAAGCTGCGCGCGGGAGCCGTGGCAAGGGCCCCCGGGGCCCGGGGCGGAGAGCGCGGGGCCATGAGGGCCGGGGCCTGGCCTGGCGCGGCGCGCATGCGCCTCGTGCAGCCCAAGTCCGGCAGGCGCCTCCCGGGAAGCCTTCAGCGGGGCGGCCGCCCGCGGGCGGCGCTGCGGAACTGCAGCTGGTGGCGCCGCCGGGAGGGGCGGCAGGGGCGCGGGGCCCGCGGGGCGGCAGCTTTGCGGGCGAGCGGGCACGTTCGCGCCGAGTTGCATCGCGGCAAAGGCTGTCGCGGCGCGGCCGCTGCAGGTGCTCAGCGGAGAGTCCTCTCGCCGCTCCCTCTCCCGCGTCGGCCGGCTTGGACTCGGGACACCTGCTTGGCTGGACCGTGACATGGTCCTCGTGTTGCCCGTGGGGAGAGGAGATCCGCAGCACGAGGCTTCAGTCCCGGCTAGACTCAAAGTGACGTGGGAAAAATGCGGCTGTGAACGGGCTTCCAGGGAGGGGCTCAGGGCCCTTCAGTGAGGGCGTTCAAGGAGAGACTGGACAAGCACATGCTGGGGATGGCATAAGCGGAGCGGGCTGGCGCTGGGGACAGACTAGATGGCCCCGGGGAACCCCTTCTGACGCACTTTTCCCCCGTGGTTCCAAAGATCAGCCTGGTGCATTTGCAGGAAATGAGTCCTCTCGCTTCCTCCTGCTTCCAAGTAACCCCTTCCAAGGTTCAAGGCAGTGTTTTGCACAGGGCTAGGTTTGCTCCAGCACCGAAAGCTGTGGCTCGGGCATGCCGAGAGTGGACGCATGTGGGCCACACCTGATTGCTCATCACGCCAGGCGGCCACTCATTACATCTGCTTTGGAAGGCACCGCGCATGGGTAGCTCTCTTCAGGTGTCCTCTGCCTAGGTAGGGGCGAAGCTGGTAAATCCGCCTCAGCTGGAAAAAGGGACTCCTGGACACCGAGTCCACCTGGCGCCCCACGACAGACTCAGGTCCAGGAGCACCCCCAGGTGGCACACTCTGCACCATAGTGGGGGGTGACGCCATCCGGGACAGGGTGATGCGCCTCCTACCTGTCAGAGGACCAATAGTGCCTCCATCTTACCCGGATTAAGCATCAGTTTACTGACCCTCGTCCAGTCCATTACTAAGCCCTGGCCTGGCTCGGTTGCTCCAAGGGAACAGAAGTCTCGGCATGACTGCAGCCCCTGCCTTATCAGGGCCCCCACCTGCTTCTGTGCCCAGCCCAAAGTCCCTGAAGCCCCAGGTGGATGGGGTCCAGCTCCAGACAGGAAGAACCTGCGCCTTCCGCCCCTCCTTGGTCCTCAGTGGAGCACCTGGCCCTCGTTCCCTGGGATGAGGCGTGGAGCTGCTTGGGGGGCATTGCACTGACCTTTGCTCCCCTCGCCCAAGATCCCCCCCCAACCCCTCCTGGCACTTCCTCACATCTTTCTATTCTGGGAGTGATGGGAGCAGCTTGCAGCTGCTTCTGTTATGCTGCTTGCTTATTGACTAGCTGTCTGGTCCTTTTATAATTTGATAGCACCTCACTATCATGTATGCGCATTGTTACTTCTCTGCCTGAAATGCATTTCAAAATGCATTTTACGAGAACTGCTGTGAGAGTTTGCAGCTTTACACAACCTGCCTTGGGGCCATGTGTTTGTGTGTGCCCTGATCGCTCCCCTCTAGACACGGGCACAGAAACGCTTAGAGAGGTCAGTGCTTTGTTTGAAAGCCGAGATAAAGGCGGGTGTTCCTCAGAGGAAGGCATGTCTTTGGAGCCGCGGCCTCTGCTTCTTATCACTCATAAAGGGGTAAAAATAGAGACAAGCAGGATAAGGAGGCAGTGGCCGCCACGCAAGAAGGGACTGTCCGGAAGAGTGGCGATTGAGGGCTCTGGCAGCCCCAGCCCCGAACACCAGGCAGCCAGGGAAGCTCGTTCCACATGGACACCGTGAGCAGGGCCTCCGCAGGGCACGTGGGCATTCAAGGTGGGCCGGAGGAGAAAAGCATTCCTCTGCTAGGAAAAAGCACCTGCAGAGTGCGCTCCAAGAATCAGAGGGCTTCACGCCCCGATGACAGCCCCTGTACGGAAGGCTGCATTGCGATTTCTATAATGTGAGAGTGGCGCATGCATCGCTGAATAAGCCCTGTCACATTTTTCCTTCCTCAAGTGCCACCTTTGGGTTGGGGTTAGCGCCATGAGGTCCAATAAACTGAAGCTCAATCCAGACAAGACGGAGGTCCTGTTGGTTGGCAGATCAGGCTTCGGAGAGGGTGAATTGAACCTTGTCCTGAATGGGGTTGCACTCCCTCTTAGGGACAAGGTCCGCAGCTTGGGAGTGCTCCTCGACCCGGAGCTTTCACTGGAAGCTCAGGTAACAGCAGTGGCAAGGAGCGCTTTCCTCCAGCTTCGGCTGATTCATCAGCTGCGCCCCTACCTGGAGAACGACTGCCTTGCGACAGTGACACATGCGTTGGTGACTTCCCGTCTGGACTTCTGTAATGCGCTCTACGTGGGGCTACTCTTGAAGACGGTCCGGATACTTCAATTGATCCAAAATAGAGCTGCCAGGCTGCTGACGGGGACTGGACGTTATGTTCACATGACTCCAGTTCTCCGTCAGCTTCACTGGCTTCCCATTGAAGTCCGGGCCCAATTCAAGGTGTTAGTGATGACCTTTAAAGCCCTAAACGGCTTGGGTCCTGGTTACCTGAAGGAGCGCTTACATCCTTATATGCCCAGCCGCCCCCTGAGATCGGCGGGAGAGGCCCTTCTCCGGGAGCCCTCCGTGGAAGAAGTTAGGAGGGTGGTTACTTGGAGGAGGGCTTTCTCAGCGGTGGCGCCTAAGTTATGGAATCCGCTCCCCAGAGAGGTCCGCCTGGCGCCGCCATCATTTGTTTTTCGGCGCCAGGCGAAGACCTTTTTATTTAAGCAGTATTTTAAATGTTAATATTATTGAATTTTATTTGGCCAGGGCGGCTTGTTTTATATTGTATGTTTTATATTATATATTTGTATTTTAATGTATATATTTTAAAATGTTATTTTAATTTATTGTTGTAAGCCGCCCCGAGGCTTCGGTGAATGGGGCTGCATAAAAATGTTTTAATAAAATAAAATAAAAATAAATAAATAAAATAAAGCACATGCAGCGCCGAGGACTCGTGTGCTTCCCCCCATAAACCAGGACAGAGTGGCGGCTCCACGCAGGGACGCCGAACAGTGTGCTTTCTGTGCCCTCCGCTTCCCGCGGCACGGCCGGCACTGGGCTTTCCAGAGTTCAACAAGATTCATCCCCAGGCCAAGCAGAGAGGCTGGGGACTGAAACGCGGCCATCTGTGCGTGAGGCGGGGGCTGTGCCCTCCATCACTTCCCGAGAGGAGAGGGCCAGGCCCCGGCTCTTCCAGTCCTCTCCCAGCCTCACTACAGCTGCGTGGGACTGCTCCATGTGCGCACGTGAGGCTAAAGACCAAGAGGTCCTGGTCATTCGCTCCCCCTTGGGTTTAGAGACAGGATGCATGCCCCATCGGAGAGAGAGATGAGACAGTGAGGGCCAGAGAAGGCCCAGGAGAAGCACTTCAAACTCTCCAGACTGTTGATTCTCCAGACTCTCCAGACTCGGACACACATGGTAACACCAGGAGCCAGAGCGAGGGATCAGAGATGGTTAGAGTTTGCCTGACGTCACGAACTGGATGGAGTTGCAAGATACACATCATAGAAATTAATTCAGTAGGTTACCACATGGTAAATGAGTGTTTAAATCCACCCCCACCTCTGTCTTTGAAAACAGCTGCCCTTCATTCATGAGGCTGCTGCCTGGAATGCAAGTCCTTCCTGCACATGGTGATACCAGTTTTCCAGAAGTGTTGGAACTGTCCCCGCAAAAGAGAAAAGGAAATCCAAATGGTGAGGGAATTTGGAAATGTTGGGGAAATGCAATTATAAGCTATTTTGTCCTTGTAAGCCTCTGTTTTATTTATTTATTAGCTTCAAACTCCACAATGCAAAGTGTGTACTTAGCAGTTTGCACATAAAATAGTTTATGGGCTGATATGAACAAGGACATGATCCATTTCCACACACAGGAAATGACACCCAATTCAGCAGGTCCTGTTTGCCCAAAGGTACCCAGTGCCACGTCTTGCCATCCAGAAGGTCTGCGAACCTGCCCTGCAGCCCCAGCCAGCCCTCCCTCTCGCCCTGTGCAGCAAAGCAGGCCGAACTGAATCGCGCACTGCCAGTCCCCCTGCGCTCAAGCAGCCGTGTGCATGAGGGGTGGAGCGCCGTCCAAGGAAGTACAATCCAGGCAGCAACTGCGAATGCAGCTTTGCTGTGGTCCGGCTGGGAGGCAACGGCCTGCACACACAGTTTCTTCCCCCAGTCCCATCGCAGGTTCCATGCGGAGGATCCTCCTTAGAACCTTTCAGTTTCTTTACCCAGTGATTCATTGCCAGAATTGTACCTTCTGCTGCTCCAGCTCCTCTGCCCACACTCCACTGGGCTGGAACACTACAGAGTTGCAAGCTGGCTGTGTTATAAGCTCAGCATAGATTTTGTTATCTGGCAAACAGTAAAAGTTAAAAGGTGAACACAGAAATGCTGTATATTGCATAAAACATAAAGGAAGATTGCATCATTCGGCATCATGTGGATCTGAACATTATCACGGAGAAATCAAAGATATAGAGTGAAATGGAAATTGTTTATAATGAAATTAACATAACTTCACTGTTCCTTCTGCAAGAGAAATCTCCATATGACCTCTCCCCACTCACAGTGCTTCCTGCAACTGGCTTCAGAAAAAAATGGGTAACTAAAACCACTGTTTGGGGGAGGGGAGAGAGATGACAACGCTGTAAACATACCACCAAGGGCCACAGCTACAAGTCTGTGTGGCTGTGCAGTGCCACTGGAGCATGTCTTGAAGATTAAGCCAGCGAGGCCCAGCAATGTCCAGTTGTGCGAGACAGATCTGTCGCCCTGTGGCTGGGTTCAGGGGGAACTTGTTCAGTGGGATCCTCCAAGCAAGAGCTCACACATGCGCACAGAAAGGGGAAGCGGAGAGGAGCGGAGGCAGAGAGAAGTCCGGGAGCTTAGCTGGGGTCCCGTGGCCCCAGCCCTCCGCCGTTCGTCGTGAGCAGTGTCCGCAGAGGGCGGCTGTGCGCAGGCCCATGTGCTTCCGGGAGAGGCCCCCTGGGGCTACCTGCAGCCGCACTCTGCCACCGTCATCCCCTCGTACTGGTACTTGAGTGTGGGAATCCCAGCATCGTCCTTGTAGAGCATGGAAATGGCCTCCAGCTTGGTGGGGACACAGCAGGCCTTGGCGGCTTTCTTGGGGTTTTTGTAGTGCACCAGCGTCTGGACAATGGCGTGCTTGGTGGGGGTGACATTATCGGTCAGGGGGAAGAAGCACCCGCCCTTGCATTCAAACGCCTCATAATCTTGCGGTGCAATGATCCAGTTCCAGCCAATTTCTTTGAAGTTCACATGGAGGGAAGTTCTCCGACAGTGGTTAATTTCAACACTCCGCTTGCTTCTAGACGAAGCATGATGGATCTCCTGGACAGGCAAATTATTTCGTTTGTGGGCAGTGTTGTTCCATACCAAGTTCTTCAGCACACTGTCCTGTTCGTGTACCATCATTTCCTGAAGCTCCCGGTGGTTCTCTTTCATTCTGTTACCATGGTCATTGGAAAACACCACCAGCAGTGGCAGCTGGCTGGACTCTGGGGTTACACTGACATCCAGACTCCCACAGAGATCGCTTTGTGCATAGCTCTCCACAGCCATCTCCAGCCGACTGGTAGCCCTTGTTCTCTCCGCCTTGACCCACCTCTTCACAGTGCCCGAGACATCAAACATCACCCAGCCGCATTCTCGGATTTCCTTGGAAACTAGGAAAGATTTGGTGTCCCTTGTCTCCTCATAATGATTTATTTCCAGGACATCATAAACAGCCAACTTTCCTTGAGAGAGACACTCGGACTCCTTCTGGCAAACGGTGTGTATTCTCAGCTCAGCTCTGGTGACTTCTTCATGCCATGGGAGGGAGACATTAAAAAGCAAGGTGTATTTCTGAAATGGATTTGTTTCCAGTGAAGAAAGAGTACCAATATCTGCAGGAGAAAATCGTTAAACTGATAATTGGTATGGCTGCCTATTATAAGGAAAGGAGAAACGCATAATAGTAGTTCTTAGTTCTAAATCTTCAGTAGCCCTAACAAGTTAGAGTGTCTATTAAAAGAAAGTCAGTGTAGTAGATCTTGCTCAGAGGAAGGAAACAGAGGAGAAAACAGAGGCACGGGCACATGCAACATTTCCCTGCTATGCCTGTAACACCCTTCTTACTGAAACAGCAACTCCTCCAGCAACACCCCGCTGCCTGGAGGCCACTGTTCGACTATCTTATGTAGCAGATAAATGACAGCTATTATTTCCCAGCTTAACATCCTGGGTTGAAGTAACCATAACAGCTCAAAAAAGTTGCCATTCCAAGCTGTGTAGCAACATTTGCAATCTGGACAGAGCTGAGGAATATTCTAGGAAATATTTTCTCTCTCTCTCCCTCCCTCCCTCCCTCTCTCTCTCTCTCTCTCTGTGTGTGTGTGTGTGTGTGTGTGAATATGCATGCAGACAGCAGAGTCAAGATGCATCTTCCGCTTCCCCGCCCCTTAGAGATTTCACATTTGGACACCCAATGCTCAGGGCCGCTGTGTATTGAACTGCTAGCAGTATCTTCACACAGACCCCTGAGACAAAAGCGGGACGAGGGTTGTGTTCACCAGGGACTGGCACTGACAATGAGCGGCCGCCTGCCTGCCTGCATTAATGCAAGCATCCAGGTGGGTGCCGGGGGCTCTGCTCATGCACTAGCTCCAGGATGGGCTCAGCCAGCAGCCAGACAAGGGCTCCGAGGGGCTGCCTTGATTTGCAACTTGTCAGTCACTGGGATGATTTTAGGACTGCGGTGTTTATCATGTCAGTCCCAGCTCTACTTGTGTATTAAGAATTTAGGAACAGAAGCTGATACAATTTGAAATGGTGCCTTTCCAGACAGTCTCTGCTGGATGCTCCAAACTGATCAATGCTTTAAATGGGTCACCTGTGACTTTGCAAGGCCGTGGGGACAGACCACACGCCCGGCAGAATTCTGGGAAATGCCTGAAATCCCCGGAGCCTCTCTCAACACAGTTCTTGCCTTCTCCCAACCCCCAGTGAGGAGCACGGTGGAAGAGCTCAGCCCCTGCAAGGGAAGGTGGGCATGTCCAGAGATCTTCACACAGGGCTGTGGTGTCATCATTCACAGGACCAGGTGTGAGGATCTTGCACACGGATTCCACACACTTGGTGACGTGTTTCAAGCGTGGATCGGACTCACACGCCACGCATGGCCCTTGGCCATCATGGATGGTAATGCAGCACCAAGCCGCTGGAGGGGTCCTGGGCTGACATGGGGGGGGGGGGCTGCCTCCGTCTGCTGCCCCCCAGAAGCCCCTCCCTTCATAAAGCTCATCAGGAATTTGAGCAGATTCTGCCTTTTATTTTCCTTCTGAATTCTTAAGCATTTCTAGTTCACCTTTTCTGTTCAGAAAAGAGAATGCCTGAAAGCTAAGACTACTTTCTTAACAACTTATATAATTATAACTTTTCTGAAGTTTCCAGATTTGGCTACTGTAAAAACAAGATCTCTTGGCTGGGAATTCTGGCCTTGTGTTCTCCAGGTGTCCACAGAGGCCAAGACATCCATGAGTCCTGAGGGGAGGTGATGTGAAAGCAGCATGCAATTCATGAATAGGTCAAAATCACACAGGCCCGGAAAGCTCGGTGTTTCACTGTCCCACCTATTTTTTCTCCACATATGAGAGAGTTGGAGGAAATGTGCCAAAGATGTCTTGAGAAGGAGATCCTAGTTTATTCCTGGTATCCATTTTTTAATTTTTTAATGGTTTGTTCTTGTATAATGACACAGATGGCAGAAAGTTAAAAAGTTGTTAGTATGGTGTTTGAAATAGCAACTAGGGTTTCCAGGGAAGCCCAGGAGCAAAGATGCCCGTCTCCTTGGAAATCCCAGCCTACACGTTAGAGGGGGAAAAAAAACCTCATACCTTCTGGACTGAAGCTGCGCACAATGTTGGATATGGGGCTGGAAGACTTGTCCTTGGTGTATCTGTTATACAATTCAATCATAAATTGAGGTGGCTCTTCTTTCGTCTTCTCTTGTGAAGGTATCTCTGACAAGTTCAAGTTCCTCAAGAAGTTAGCTTTCAAGTTCTCCAGGAAAGCCTTGAAAATAAAATGGGCTTCTCCGTCCACATGTCCAAGGCCACCAGAGGGTCTGTGAGAGCGTCTCACTGCAAGCAACCTGCCCTGGTCTTCCATGGGTGTGACGCTTACCGAATGAATGACAAGGACACTCAGGAGGGTCAAAGCTCCCCACGGGTACATTTTGCAGGAGCTCAGTTTTCCAGTGGGGAAAAAGCCAGTAATGTTCCAGGAGAGTCGTCTGGAGAGCAAGCGGGGACCCTGAAGGAAGGCCGGCAGCCACTTTCCAGAGCCCTGCCACAGCTGTGTTCTTTCCAGTCCCAGCCCCTTGTGAATTGTCAAGCAGATTGGTTGTACACTTGCCCTTATCTCAACCATTGATGTTGCATTTCAGTCGCTTATCTGTTGAGGCTCTTCACTAATGAAGATTCTGTAAACATCAGAACAGCACACATGGCTAGAGGAAGCATGTGGCATCCAGGAAAGAATCTGTGGTCCTCCTTGAGGGTCATCATCGTCCAATTATGCGCCTTTATCATTTCCTTGCCAGCAACAATATGAATTTCAGGATGTTCGCGGGGAGGAGAGGCATGAGGGTAGAAAGTTTTCTTAGTTCCCACAGCATACAAACCAAGATGAGAATGAAGGCGAAAGCCTTGCTTTGGCATGCATAAAGCCTTCTTATCTGTTCCAGTGTTCCTCAACCGGAAGCCCTTTTGCAAGGCATAATTTCATTAGTAGCAGAGCCTTTGCATTCTTTCATTTATTGGACCAGGACTATTGTTAGTACACAAAGGATGCTTCGTTTTCTTGAGCTGGGTGTCACTGTGTCTTTCTTTCTTTCTTTCTTTCTTTCTTTCTTTCTTTCTTTCTTTCTTTCTTTCTTTCTTTCTTTCTTTCTTTCCTTCCTTCCTTCCTTCCTTCCTTCCTTCCTTCCTTCCTTCCTTCCTTCCTTCCTTCCTTCCCTCCCTCCCTCCCTCCCTCCCTCCCTCCCTCCCAGATTTGTATCCCATCCTTTTCTTTTTTTAAACAAACTCCAAGCAGCTGGCATCCCTTGCCTCCCCTTTCGCCCAGTCTTATCTCCCACAGCAACAGCCCTTGAGGTGGCCTGAGCCGAGGATCTGTGACTGGCCCACAGCCACCCAGCTGGCTCCATGGCTGAGTGGGAACCAGAACCCGGGTCGGCTGTGTCCCAGCCCTTCGCCGCAACCCCACCGCAACCCCACATGGGCTCCCTCTCTCTGCGAGTCGCCGGGTCCTTGCTGCTTCTCGCTGGCGGCCAGGCAAGTGCCAGACCTGTGTGCACTGGTGTCTTCCTGAGCGTCATCCTGCTGCCTTCTGTGAAATGGCTGCTTTGTTGTACTTGTGGGGGAAATACAGAATTTCACATCACAGACTTGTCCGAACCTGTTCAGTCGCCTTCTCTGGAATAGATGTTGCAGAAGAAAACTGAGTTCAAAGGGACGTGTTTGTGTTTTGCTGTTCAGAAGCCTGCTTGGGCTCCTGGGCACGTTATTTGTCATCTAGTCTCACTAAATTGACTTTTGAGAAATGCTTGCTTTTTGACAGTCACTGCCCACAAGCGCAGTCATTCTGCGGGTGGCAAGACCTTCCCAGGGCAGCCATTTTGCGAAAGCACCAACAACCCACTGAAATCCCACAAGTGCCCATCTGCCAGCAAATGAGGAGACGGCGGCCCTGAATGTTTCGCTTAGATCATCAGGCCATGGGAAACGTTGCTAAATATAGATCACACCCAGGAACGTTATCTCTTCCCTGATTTGCAAGTTAAGAATTAGAAACTGCCAAAAGGAGATACAGCCTTGCTTCAGAGCCATCTCTGCAGAAAGCAATTTGAAGTTTGCACATTGATAAACAGAGCTGGAGTAATCACCCTTCACAGGTCGCGAACTCCTGCTTCCTCGAGAGAGAGAGTCTGTGTCCCAGGCTTACTGGCAAGCACCACTTTTAGCAGACAAATGGCGCTATACCTTTTGCCGCGGGCCTTTGCTCTTCAGACAAAGCATTCGTGGAGTCCTTCTGTGGGGAGCAAGCTGGGCTCTGGAATGCCTGGAATGATTCACAACGCCCTGGATGGTGACACGGTTCGATGTCCGTGCGATCTGGAGGAGAGAAGGGAATCATGATTGCTTCTTGGCATGCACATTCTTTTTCCAGGATGGTTGGGAAATGAATAAATGTTGGCAGAAAAAAAGAGGAGAAGTTTGTGAATGCCTGACAAGTGAAAGCGAGACTTCAGTAACTTTTGTAAACCATCTTGAGATTCTTTTGAATAATTGACAGTATGGAGAAAGCTTAAATAAAATAAAAACAATATAATAAATTCTGTCAGATGCATGCTTTTGTGCTCATGGCGATGCACCAAGGCTTCCTCCTCAGCATTCCTCCCATCCTTTGGAGAAAACTTTGGCAGGTCCACCTGAGAGCTGCCCCCACACTTCTTGGCTCCGTCCCGTTCTCTCTGAGAACAGTGGCCTGCAACACTTCTCAGCTGGCTTGATTTTGATGCCCTTTCCCAGCATGCACGCAGAGATCTCTCCGAGCCTCATGCCGTCAGGACTGCAACAACCCCTCCCTTTTAAGGAAAGGGCGGCAGACTTAAGAAAGCATTTTGATTGAACATTGTGTGCCCTGCTTCTGCCTTGTCTCAATTTTATCGTGTTTGCAGATCATTCCCTTTTGGTCACCTTTTAATCCTGCCTTAGCTAGTAATCCTATTCCACATTTAGACGTCGTGTGCAATCCTTCTTAATGGGTGAGCCACTATTTCTGACCAAACGCATGTGACAGAGGCAGATCCCGTATGCCTGGATGCAGAGGGGCCGCAGCTGCCCCCCGTTCCCCATTTGGATGGTGATGCTGACCACGGGTTTCTGGCCAGGTGCCATGCTATGTTTCCCCTGGAAAGGCTCCCCCGCTCCCCCTGGCTCAGACCTCCCGGAATCCCACCTGGCCTGGTTGGGAATCCCTGCCCTTTGCTCCCCAGGATGTGGGGGGGGGTTGCTACTTGGGCTGTGGGGCAGCTCTTGGTGCCTATGAAGGGGCCCCAGGCCTGGGCCTGCAGCTGTGTGCCATCCCTGGCCGGGCCTCCCAGCCTGACCTGCCAGGCACGTGATCGGATCCTCACGGCGCAGGGCAGGCGCCCCAGCAGAGGTCCAGCAATGGCTTCCGCTGTGCAACCAATCCCCATGACCCTCAGGCGCCACTTCCCCGGTGGGTAAAATATCCCAAGGAGAAAGAAGCTCTGGGGCAAATTTCAAGGGTGGGGAGCTTGCTCTCACAGGGGGCTTGCACATGCGCTCTGCACATCCCCCACGGCCCCCTCTGCCCCTCCCTGTGCAGCCTGATCGAGTGAAGGGGGCTCTGAGCCTGATGGGGGGTGCAGAATATCTGCAGAGGCTGGCATTGCGGGGTGAGGCTGCCCCCGTCCTGGCAGGACCCCCAGCCAGCATGGGCTGCCAGCACCGCAGAGACTGTGGGGAGGAGGAGGAGGGCTGCTCTGGAAGATGCTTTGGCCGCCTGGTCAGGAGGAAGCCAACACAGGGCCTCTTGCCTCCACATGCTCAGCACAGGTGCAAAGGAGAGGGGAAGGGCTTGCAAGCTGCCACCTCTGGGAAGTCCTGTTGGCCCTGGAGATCTAGGATGAGAAGCGTAGAACAGTCTGGACAACATGAGTTGTGGGCAGCTGATCCAGGGGGAGAAGGCTCTGATCTCAGCAAGAGGATGCGGCTCATGGAACAGAGAGGAAGAGTCTCCCCAGGGCTTCCTGGGCCAAAGCAGGCTCTCTAAGCATCCTCTGTCCAGGGCAACCCAGCCTGCCCAGGACTGGAGCTGGGAGGGGGTCAGGGGCACTGAGTTGGGGGAGCCTCCGTGAGGCCAAAGAGGCAGCCCCTCCCTCTCGCTGGCTGTCTTGTGCAGACAGTGGGAGGGGGGGCTCTTCATGGCAGCACGAAGCCATGCTTGACATCTGTCTCAGCTCAGCCCTGGCCCGATGCCCGGGCTCCAGATTGGAGCGCAGGCCTCTCATTAGGTGGTGATTCGCAAGCCTGTGCAGAGCTGTCAGTGGAGTGAACGAACAAGCAGCTGCAGGGGAAAGAGGACCTCGGTGACTGTCTTGGACATGTAATAGGATGTCCAATTGCCTAATGTGTCCCTAATGATTGGTTTGAAATTGATTTCCCTGCTTAAATGTAATCATAAGAAGATCAAAATTGGGGCACACAGCATTTTGCTGGTACAAAATGCTCCTAAACCTCAATGTTTAATTCAGCAGGAGACAACTTCTGAAACACTAGTTGTTTGTAGAGGCACACAACAGACACCCTGTCTGAGAAGTGCCACCATTTTGAAACCACCCAGTTTCACTCCTTTGTAGGAATTCTCTGCAACAGGCTGTGCCTGGGGCTGCCATTGACGGGTGCTCAGGCGCCTGGTCCAGGGTGCCATGGCATTTTGTGGCTGAGCCACGGCTCGAGGGGATGCAGAAGAGGACCTTCCTTCTTCGTGGGCAGAGCCGTGGGCCACGCTGGCTGGAGCTGAAGGGAGCAGATGTTCAAGGCACACATGGAGGCCATTCAGCTAGAAGGGGGAAGGCTGATGCAGTGCCTCCATGGGCCAGGAGCCGCCTTGCTCTTAATTCGGAAAGCAAATATTATTGGGAGAGAAGAGAAAACTGAAGTGACAGATGGGAGTGGAGTTGTCCAAGTGAAGGGTCCACTTTCTGTGGCACTAGAGAGAAGATTGGTTGGTTTACCAGTGAAAACAGGGTAGGAAACTTTGGAAGCGAAGGGAAGAAGCTGGGAACAGCTCCGAGGGACGTGCACACCTGCTGTAACTCTCCCATGGTGCAAGTCTGGACAGGGTGCATGGAGAGCAAGGCAGTATTTCTGCTATACAGTCATGGGCTGTGGGAAGTGGGGAGGTCTTTTCCACCTCGGAAATGCAGCATTGTCTAAAGAAGAAACATGCACACACGTGCGATTTCAGTAAATGGCTTTTGGAACCAAGCACCACCTTTGATTCCTGGCTATAGAAGGAGGTTTCTTCTGTATGTGCTGGTGGCCATTACGGCTTTGCTAAAGGGCAACGGACGTGGTGGCTGCTTCCCCTGCAGGCTTTGGTGACAGCCAGGATGGATGGAAGAAGGATTGTCAAGCCACCTT